GTTAACCAGATATTTCATCAACAATCGAACTGTCATTCTCCCATGACAAGATTAATTTACGGGGGGAAGGGATAAATGCTGTTGATTAGACGAGGAGTTGTTTTAACCAATAACCACGGGTTTCCTTTCAGGAAATTAGCATAAAGCACAGACGTACAGAAAAGGAGGGAAAAAGAAAGAAAGAAAGAAAAAGTAACAGACTTGCTTAATTCTTAGGTAGAAGGATTCTCTTGTTCCGCATTGAGTAGCAAGGTGCAATAGATTAATTAGAAGCGACACTAAATCAAAAAATGAAAGAGAGAATAGGGTCTTGGGTTTCTTCCATTATTTCTTCATGATCTGATTCTTCTATCTATTTAGTACTTACTGATTTTGTGATGCTTGGAGAATAAACCAAACACCGGATTGCATTCTCGGAGGAGCCTCCATGACTCTAACATCTGAGCTCGGACCGGCAACGTCTAAAGCCGGTTGTTGAAACTGTTGGGCGTAATAAATTGCAGGCAGCAGCATCGGAGAACAAGAAGAGAATGAAGCTGTTGGATTCCATGGGTTAGGCCTATATCCCCATGGGACCTCAGGTTGAGGAAAACTCAATCTGGTCCTCGGGTGCGGCAAGAACAAAGGCGTATCGATGATACTGATACCACCACTAAAACTACTTGGACAATAACCTCTAAACTCGTTCATATGGAAGAAAGGATTTAATAATGGTTTAAGTTGTTGTGTGCTGCTGCTAATACTACTGCCGCTGGGTGGTAATAGATCGAGCTCCACCAATCTGACTGTTGGAGTGGTTGGTTCCATCTGATTATGCTTAAATTCGGTTCTTCCCATCACGTAATTACCAAATCCCAGCTGAAGCCAACCTTTGTCTTTCTAATCTTGTTGGAAATCCTCGGAGCTGGAACTGGCTTCGTTGAGGCTACTGGTTTTGGAGTCGTCTTCGGCCATTTGACTGACCACCAGATCAGATTCGGGAGAGAGAGGGAGAGAGAAAAATGTAAAGTAACAGACAGGTAGTATCCGAAGATCGGAAAAGATGAACAGTGTTTTTCTCATTTAATTATTATAAGAATAGTACGAGGATTAAAAGATATTGTAACGGCCTTTTTTGAAGGGAAAGGGATTTTTGTCTCACAGTCATAATACAGAGGGGTCTTTGTTAAAAAAAAAAAAAAGCAAGGGATCTTTGTCACAGACCCCATAATACAGGGGTCTTTATAATTTACCCAAAAAAAGAATGTCTTAGAGAACTTGAGCAGATTACAGTAGTTTGGGGGAGTTTAAAGCCTGTTCATTTTTTAAAAGTTGTCGGTGAATAAGCAGGAGTGTAGTGTGGGACTCTCATTCCACTCTCCCCTTTTATTATTATTATTATTTTCTGATATATAATATGCACACTACTATGTACTATCCCATTATCTTCACCTTTCCTAGCTTTTTTCCCTTTATTTTATATATAAAAATATTTATTTATTTATTTTCATTCCGTTAAAGTGGAAGCGGTCCACTGAGTGACCGAGACCGACACTCTTAAAAGTGCTTACGCACTCTAAACCACATTAACTAAGACTATGTATGAGAGTAATTAAATTAAGATTTTAACATTCATCTTCACATGTAGTATTATTATTTACTAATTACTATATTACAATATATGCCCCGGCCTGAGAGGTATTTTATATCAGCCGTTGGATTAGACTCTACAAAGAGAGATGAACAATTAGCAGCTCGATTCCACTGATACTAGGGAAACAATCCAAAGAAATTGCCGTATTTCACAAAGACCGAAGAAATGGTTTTAAAAATGAATAGCACAAGTATGCATTTCATTTCAACACAGGATCTTCAACCACTCAATTGGTTTCTCTTCCCATAAATCGTGAACGTGGATCACGCTCCAACTCCAAGAGTCCCAAGTTCAAGTGTTCAACAACAACGTGGCCTTGTGCGTGGAACATGACATTATGTCTTTTGCCTCAATTCAAACATAAACATGTTCCTTTAATCCTTTTCCTTTTCCTTTCGGCCACATGACTCATTCCATTGTTCCATTGTTCCTCCTTCATTGGACTGAAGCAACCAGAGAAGCATAAGAAACCAAAATTCATCTCTTCTCTATTCACAAAATTGCCCCAAGTTATTGTTTGAATATTATTTTCTTTTTTCTCTTTTCTTAGACCCAATCAGTAGTGGCTTCTCTTCTTGTTTCTTTCTTCTTTTCTAGATCTCTCTACCCTTTAAAGCGAGTCCATTATTGACAAAACATCTTGTTTTTACTTTATAATTCCGAATCTTTTGTTAAAAGACAATTTCAGCTCTATCTTAAACAATCGCAGAAAATCCAATTCCACAATATTTCATTGGAAAAACTTCCGCCCCCAACCCCCAGTTCATTCAAACTTCACAGAAAAACTGGAGTATCTCCTTTGTTGTAGTTCCACTTCCACCTCTTCGTTAGTCATTACCACACATGGAAAGATTCAGAACCAGAGAATATCCTCCTGTCTCCACTCTTCTCCTCCTGCTGCTCCTCACCTTCTCCTTTGCTGCTGCTGCTTCTAACCAGTCACCCATCAAAACCATCGTAATCCTTGTCCTTGAGAACCGGTCCTTAGATCACATGCTTGGATGGATGAAAAAATCTATCAACCCATCAATCAATGGAGTCACAGGCAAGGAATGCAACCCTGTGTCAACTCAAACCCCACAGTCACAATCAATCTGCTTTACCGACAATGCCGAGTTTGTTGATCAGGATCCTGGACACTCATTTGAGGCTGTCCAAGAACAGGTTTTTGGATCCAGCCTCATTCCTTCCATGTCAGGATTTGTCGAACAAGCTCTGACAATGTCTTCCAATCTCTCAGACACTGTGATGAAAGGATTCGAACCCAAATCTGTACCCATATACGCCTCCCTAGTGCATGAATTCGCCATCTTTGATCGATGGTTCTCTTCGATTCCCGGGCCAATCCAACCAAACAGGCTCTTCGTCTACTCTGCAATGTCTCGTGTTTCGATCAGCCACGTCAAAAGCAGCTAGCTACAGGCTACCCACAGAAGACTATCTTCGACTCCCTCCATGAGAACGGATTGGACTTCGGTATTTACTTCCAAAACATCCCCACCACTCTCTTCTACAGGAATTTGAGAAAATTGAAATACATATTCAAGTTCCATCAATTCGATTTAAAGTTCAAGAAGCATGCCAGAGAAGGGAAGTTGCCCAGCTTAACCGTGATCGAGCCGAAGTATTTCGATCTCAAAGGGTTACCTGCCAACGACGACCACCCTTCTCACGATGTCGCAAATGGGCAGAAGTTAGTGAAAGAGGTTTACGAGACCTTAAGATCGAGTCCTCAATGGAACCAGACCCTTCTGGTGATTACCTACGACGAGCACGGTGGGTTCTTCGATCATGTAAAGACTCCCTATGTGAATGTTCCCAACCCCGATGGCAACACAGGTCCTGCCCCTTACTTCTTCAAGTTCGATCGCCTGGGAGTTCGAGTGCCCACAATCATGGTGTCCCCTTGGATTAAGAAAGGAACCGGTAGTCTTCAAGTTCTTCCTTTTCTTTTTTTGTTTTTTTCCTTCTCCAACCTCCGAAGCTCGGATCCTTGAATTTGTGAACTTCAAATTTACCGCCCCCCCGCCCGCCCCTTGTTCATTTTCCTTTTCCTGCTGCCATACTAATGGGGATCCGTTCATATCTCGTCTGCAGTGATCAGTGGCCCAAATGGACCTACTCCAGACTCAGAGTTCGAGCACTCTTCAATACCCGCAACAATAAAGAAGATGTTCAACCTCTCCTCCAATTTCTTGACGCACAGAGATGCTTGGGCCGGGACTTTTGAGCAGGTCGTGGGAGAATTAACCTCTCCTAGAACTGATTGTCCAGGTATGAATATTGATTTCTCAGAAGAGCTTTGTTCTAAAAATTATTACTTAAAACTCAACAGGACAGAGACTAATTAACAAGTGGGTTTTCTTGGCGGAACTGCTAAAAGAGGTGCTACCGGACGTGGCTCCTTTAAGAAGAACAGAATCCAAAGAAGAGGACAAGCTATCGGAATTTCAGAGTGAGGTAGTCCACTTGCCCGCTGTTCTTAACGGTGACCACTTCTTGAGCAGCTTCCCCGACGAGATGACGAACAATATGAGCGTTAAAGAGGCTCATGATTATGTGAAGGGCGCTGTATTCAGATTCATAAGAGCAAGCAAAGAAGCCATCAAGTTGGGTTTAGATGAATCTGCCATAGTAGACATGAGATCCTCTCTCACCACTAGATCAACTACGCTTCGCCATTAGAATTAGGAGATGGAGATACTACCCTTCTGGTTTACCCGTTTTACTCGATGATAGTGTCATCCCCCTTATTCTAAAATATATAAATTATCTTCAAGGAAACAGTAGAACAGAAGCTATCGAAGCTTGCCTTTCATGCTCTTTGTAGTCCTATTTCTGCGATTTTTTAGACATCACTGACCGATCTACCGACACTCCGCAATGAATCTCTTAGCTACTGAGCCTGTATTGCTGGACGGTGGCCACAGCTTTAACTATAGAAAAGGATAACTTCATTTTAACTGCAAAAAAAGAGATAAATCCTTGAAATAAGGAATGCCAATCTCTTGTTCAGGGGTATTCCATGAGCGATCACTGACCACTGCACGACACAAATTTTCGCATTGATAATCCAAGCAAACTGAATGGACGTAAGGATAAAAAGAGACAAGTCCGCTAATCGGGTCGCCTACCCGGGCGCCAGCAGCGAGAGCCTAAACAAGTAAACAGTAACTGGGATAACCCAGTTATCCAGATGACACGACTCAAGATTCAACCCACATTAACAGCGGTCCGAACAAGTCGATGAACATAACAAATAATTGTTTCAAAGTCAAGCATAAACGAGAAAAAACCAGGGATCATCTTCCCACGTTCAATTGCAGAAAAGAAAGAGTCCGATCCTCTCCAGAAATATTAAACCTAATTTAATCATTGAAAAACCTGATTAAATCTGGTGGCATTTGGTTCCATTGCAACAGAACACCAAGGGGCGCAGTTCCTGATAACAAGATGTAATAAATATTGGAAAGGAAGAACACAAAACAAGCAAGAAACCATGGAAAACTCCCCAATAATCTCACAAAGTCTAAAAAAACTAAACCGAATCAAGCAAACCGATTCTAGTCCCAGACATCCCAACCAAACATCTCCCAATCCCCCCAGGTCCCCCACTCCCCCACTCCCCAGGTGATCGTCCTCAAATTCAAGCATAGTTCAACCGGAAAATGTCATTCAGCACATAAAAGCTTCCCTGTGGGGTTGGCATCAAATGGAACATCTGCATGAAAACACAAGGAAAAAACGAAAACCGGTTAGAACAACAGAGGAAACAAAAGCAATGCCAAATACAAATGACAATCAGAGACTACTTTCCGGTTGAGAAAATTATAAAACGATTTGTTGCTATAGCCTACGAGCAAGACATGAACCAAAAAAAATTGCGAACAGTGTTTTGGACCATGTAACTAGGAAGAATGATGCAATGATAAAAACTCGGGCTAACACCACCAAAACACATTCTAAATTGGAGTCCAACAGCGATCACTTTTTTCTGAAATGATTAAAAGGTAGTTCATGATGCATCTGAACTGCTTTCAACCCTAACAATAAGCAGATATCCGGTGGTCATTTGGACCCATCCAAGACCACATTCTGGGGGTATGATAATCATATGGTCGAATGCTCTTGCACAAACGACTTTGTTTATAGAAGGGCTCTCTGGAAAACTAGTCACAAAAGACACTAAAGATGACTTTTATTGAATGAGACAGACTGTCAGAGGACAGCAAGCTCTGACGAGAATTTAGCTCCGGATAACCTCATTAACAGTTACATATATAATCAAAGAAAAAGGGAACAGGTTGTTGCAGCCTTATAGTCTTTACCATGAAACTAGATCATGATTCATGTAATGGGGTCTATAAATCGCAAAGGGCCATCAAAAAATGATAACTCTAGGTTTTACATACAACTCGAGTAAACTTGCATTTTTTCTTTACATATCCCAAATAGAATAACCATTAGGAAGAATTGTTTTGGAAAGATGAAAGGAAATTATGCAAACCCAGCAGTATAAGAGCAAAATTCTGTTGATTGTTAATTTCAATTAACAATTACAAATGCATAGTGCAAAAAAAAAAAAAAACGGATGGTGATGGCACTAATATATTCACTTCAGATCTATACTACTACTAAAAGTGTAAATGCGAGTGTAAAACTTTAATTTGACTAAAACACTCCAATTTCTGAATTTGATCCCTCTTTAATTGTAAGGACAGAAATATAATTTAAAAAAAAAAAAGAAAAACACTTCTCCTCATTCAAATGATACAAGTACAGAAATGATACAATGGCCACTAAATTGTAAGTCCACCCCATGCATACCAGTACAGAAAGAATATATATGATTATGACTTTACTTGAATACATACACACTGTATAGTACACAACAAATGACCGAATTAAAACAACCACCACAAAATTAGCAATGGACAAAAGACCAATAGTTGTAGTATCTCTTGCATTGAGCAACACGCATGCGCTCAAATGATTGGGATAAGAATGAACTACATTCACTCATACAAATTTTCTAACATGAAGTTCAGAAGGGTGTAATTGAATCAAAATACCAGGACATTACATACATTTAGAAAGTAATCCATATGATTTTTGTATAGCCAGCTCAAAAAGGTGAGGGTGAGCCTTTGACTTTGTTGAGATGCATTGTATAGAAAATATTTCAGAAAAGGAGAAGGACACATCAACAAACTCAATTACAAATTTAGGATCTGATAAATGAACAAATAAGCTACCTATGAGATGTCAACTTTAAAGAAGGACGCATTTGTCTCACAAGTACCAGCATTGTTCTAGCATTTAATTTATTATAGTCCGTCCTGAAAGACTTCATAATACCACTACTGAAAACAAGAGGACTTGCCACAAGATGGGAAAAGTGGGAGAGCGAACTTACTACAACATCCCACAACTAAGTTGGGAATAAACAAGTTCACATTGTTTTCTTCAAGTATATATTTAAGGTGATATGCCTTCAGCCTTCCTGGAAAAAAAAATCAGCTATCCCCATGAAGTAAACAGTGTCCAAGCTTTTAAGAATGAGCCTCCACAAAACCAAAGCATAACCAGGAAAGATGAGAAAAATGGGAGAGGGAACCTACTACAACATCTCATGACTAAAGTTTGGGAATAAACAAGTTCCTGTTGTTTTTGTAAACTATACATACAAGGCAATAAGCCTTCCTGGAAACAAATCAGCCATCCTCATGAAGCTAACAGTGTCCAAACTTTAATGAATCAGCCTCCACCAAACCAACACATAACCAAGAAACTCATCGAGACTAACAAAATATATTGGCATGAAAGTTTATGGATTAGTTGAATGGAAATACCAAAAATATGCCAATACCAACAGCAACAGGTAAATTCACTTGCAGTGACAATAATAGTGAGGGCCGTTGATGGTCACAAGACTCACAACCTAATAGCAAACAGAGAGGTGGGATCCTTAGATTTGATATAGGGATTTAGGGGTTTGCTCCTACTGTGAGGCAATTATCCCAAGGTATGGTTAGGTACCTTCTCACACTTGCTTAGCATGAATTATGAAAATTGTACTTGTATGGTAGGGCAATTTTCCCCAGGGATAAGGGAATTGCCAGTCAAATGAGGCAGTAATTAAGGATATATGCAGCTGGATATAACTTTAAGCTAGAAAAAAAAATTAAGGAGTATCTGAAAGCACGAACATTCCAAAAAAACAACAAATATTCAAATAAATTCAAGAAATACCAAGAGTTAATCAAGAATGCGATAGAAATATCCGGGAAAGAACAATCAGATCTAAATGCAAGAACTAGAAGAGTAAGGTTAGACCTTATGGGGTAGAAGATAGAAGAATGAAATTAAAAACCCTTCAAGAACATCAATTCCTGAAAATTCTGTCTTTACTGCATAAATCGATAGGAGAAGAGGTCGACAGTCTTTTGTATGTTTTTCTAATCCTACTAATTTTAAGAAAATAAATGAGCAAAAATAACAACATATAGCAAATGCAGCAGCAATGAGATGAGAAGCTTGTGACAAACACTACTGAACCTGAATAAAGAAGAAACCGCAAATCTGACACGGAACATTAACAACTGTAAATATGCAACTCAAATGGAACAATAATGCCAAGGGCCAACGATTATTGGATGGAAAATAAATGGAGACAAACATATAAAAGTTATTGGTAGGAGAGAACCGGGAAGAATCCATATTACACAAAGAGCACAAATAATCTCCAAACCCCTACACAGTCAAGTCCAGTTTTGAATCAACCAAAAGATCAATCATTGATGGAAGTAGCAAAACGCATCAACCAAGACTTGATATGGACCATGATCAAGTTCGAAGGTCACAACTGTGAGGAGTACGCCAAGCAGAAGCAACAAAAATCAACCGAACAACTGCCATAACAATAAGGAACGCAGAAACTGCTATCCAGATCTAGTCAGATGAACTCCAAATCATCTCTACGTGATAAAAATCAATCAGAAACAATCAAGTTTCGTATTCAATCATCGGCAACAGATCGAGTATAAGATTCCCAAAATAAAACCCTAAAAACCCACAGAAGCATTTATGCGAAGCGAAAAGGATATCAGGAGACGCCACGATATATACCTGACTGAACTTGAGAGCGTGCTGTTCGCCGGCGAGCTGGAGATTGCCACTAACGAAGACGAGCATGCCGCCAGCAGGGCCAGAGGGCTGGCAGTCGACGGTGGTGATGCTGTGCTGGCACTGCTGGAAGGGGAGGCCGGTGAGGTGGGTTACAATGTTCTGAGCGCCCTGGATCTTCTGGCCCTCGAATGTGAGCATTGATCCCTCCTGATACAAGTTTGCCAGCCCTGCCCGGTTGGCATCGAATGTGGAGTAGTAATGCTCCACAAATGCCTTGGCTACAGAATCCGGATCCATCTTCGCCGTTAATCGTAATCCACGGCAGCTCACCCTCTTACACTCTTATACTCCCCTCTCTCTCTCTCTCTCTCTCTTTCTTATAGTCTTATAGGCTTTAGCTTTGGGTTTGCAGCTGCGGGCGGCCGGCACAAAGGGAAGAGACACAAGAAGGGATATTTTCTCTCTTTTTTTTTTGTACTTTCGTTATAAAAATTAAAAAAAAAAAAAAAAAACGGGTATCGCCCCCCTAGTCTTCTCGGACGCGGACCTGCCCTCCCGGTTCCCCTAAACAGATTATAGACGTGTAGTTCGGTCTACAACTTATCAGTCGTACAGATTCAAGGAATGGCAAGATGTCTGTATGTAATGAGGCGATCGTTCAGGCATTCAGACCCAGACCTGTCCCTCAAATATATTATTATTATATAACTCTGCCTCTGCGCCTGGACTTGGAGGATCAAGACAAAGGGCGAGATTATTAATTAAAATACAAAGGGGGAAAAAATGCTAACCAGGGCGACTAGAACCTACGTTTGCAGTTTGGGCACTTGGAGGATTAATATGACCAATTAGAAAGGGTTTAATTATGAAAAGGTATCGCATTTTGGCTTTGGTCAGAAATAATTAAAAATAAATCGGGTCTTTTACACATGGTATCTAATCTTATATGAAACACATGTGACATTGTGATCCAATAACTCCACAGGTTTAAAGGGAGAATGATGATTCAGCACAGGGTCAAAATTTTTAGGCCCAAAGTACAATGGAGTGGGTGTCAGTTCGGAATTAATGTTAATTCATGGACGGACATTGATATATAGAATGGGGTTTTTGAATTGCCACTAACATACCATCCCCATTGTTATTGCGGCCAATTCCAAGTTGTTGAATGTTGATAGAGAATAATATCCAGATCAATGGTTTTAGACGAATCTGAATTTTATATTGGAGTCAAATTTGAAATAAGGGTACAAGCGATTTTTGCAGGAAGGGAAGGATGGGGAATGAATGGCCATCTCAAGTCTCAACTACGGGGGGTCATTGTTGGCAACGGAAGACCTCTTTCTCATTAGTAGTAAACAGTGATATACTTGGCAATGGTGTAGATCAAGCAAAAGGGGGAAAAAAAGACTCGTTCACGCTAATCAGAATTCAGAAATGCGTTGTGATAATGGCAGAGGCTCATGAGGCATTACAGTTTAAACAAGGCAGGCTAATCTATCCTTCAGGCTTCATCCAATTGAAGGCAAACTTCTCTAGGGGCCTACTGTTACTAGGAATAGCTCGGGGAGTTTGGATCTACTGTAAATGGTACACCAACAGCTACAGGTAGCAATGGCCAATGGCATAAATATAATATAACTAACTGGTGTTAAGATTCTCTAACAGGAGGCTTTCTTTTGGTCTTATGCTGACCTGTTCATTAACAGTTGGTTTGGTGCACCAGTCGTTTGCTGCCAATCTTACGATGGAACAAAAACATTCCAACACAATGATAGTCACATTTTTGGTAAACCATTCTTATTCATAACCTATCTCCCCTCCCCTCACCCAATGACATCCTCAAATATCAATTGCTTGATAACGATTCCATCATGGCTTTAAGAGGAAATCCGGCAAAATGAATGCTTTCATGAGATATCTATGAATCTGTCCTAGACTTCACACTCTTTTTTTCTAATTATTTTTATCAATTAATTATGATTTTATGTTTGGAGGTGACTTGGCATTTCGGTACTTAATCCCTCTTTTTTCATCAATCATATATCCAAACTTGTAAAGAACCAGGTTAAAAATACCTTACCATGTGTCCTTTTATATTACATTGAAAATTGAAACCTTGATGAAGGCTTGAACAGAACACAAAGGTGGGGCACACGGTTGAGATTTACATCATGGGATAGAACATGTGGCCAATCAATTGAGTTCCCTATCTGATGGATGCACAGTTTAGATGACCTGTCAACTTCTTCAACATGGAATTATGATCTACAAATTATTCGAGTCGTCAATGAAACAGGGGACCCCCTAGCCTCTAGATTGATCTGTCAACTTCTGTCTTTAATCTGCCAAGTGCCCAACTGTCATCCCACCTGCTACGTAAAGAAAAAAAAAAAGAAGAAAGCTCCAGGCACCTTTCAACTGTACTTATCCTAAATGCTAAGAACCGTCGTACATGTTAGAAATGCCTTATCTGTGTTCTAGACAGAACAAGGACTCTGCCATGTGGATACATCGGTGATGATATTTCGAAGCTGATCTATAAGAATCTTGAGATGTTTATGCTTATTCGCAACCTCCTACATTTGAAACAAAAAATGATCAAATGAGTGGACTATTATGCTCATGCATTAAGTATACTAATAAGGACAAAAATATAGATAGTACCAGCATACTTTAGCTACCCATTCAAAGGTTAAAAGATTGATGGCCGATGCAAAAATTGCAGAAAAGAATTGAGCAATGATCCATATGTACCAGAAAAGCCAGTTCAACACTTCAACTCATGCACTATTTCTAATTGGTAGTGAATAGTGATGCATATAAATATGTAAAGAACATAGGCGTCATTTGGGAGTACTTATTGGATAAATAAGTACTTATCCTAAAATGCGCTTACGAGTTTTTTTGAACAAGTGCTTCTTTCAAATGAGGGTACATGACACCGCCAAGATGGGCCAGAAATGCAATAAGCACTAAAAGAAAGCCAAATTTTGGAGCTTATTCAAAACGGACTTATTTCCCAAACCCATATAAATGATTATTGTGGCCCCGGCCTCAAATAAGTGCTTTTTCCAAATAAATGCTTAAAAATAAGCAGTCCCATTCGGGGGGGGTTAAAGGGCTGAAGGCATACTCTAGGCATAACACTGAAAGTAAAAGAGAATTTGATTAACAAGAATATACAGATACTAAAACATAAAATATAAAGAAGTTTTCAAATCCATATGCAAGCGCAAAATAAATGAAAATAATACAATATACAGAAATAAAATATAAAAATGATACATAAAATTGGCAAATTACAAAGAAGCAATTGACAAGCAACAAAATAAACAGAGAAGTACGGATTTACCCAATGCAGATTTCTGATTTACACTCCAGAGCTATAAACATTCAAAAGGACCACAACTCACACTCTATGCACCAATGCCCGCCCGTGAATTGGCATCAATTCCGAGCTGGCACCTACCCCGATGGTACTTTGAGCCTACAAATTCTGACCCTGGGCTGATCGGTCATTCTCCCTAAAATAAATAGGGTAAATTACAGATAAATACCCTGTACTTTGGGGGTAGTACCACTAAGGTACCCCGAACTTTCGACTGCAACACCTAGGTACCCTGAACTTTCAGAAATAGACACTTAGGTCCACCTCGTTAGTATTCCATCAGTTAAACATTTTATAATACCAAAATTACCCTTCTCGTGTATTTTTGGACTGTTTTGCCAATAAAGATGAAATAAATTCACAAGACTTAAGCCACCAACTGCATCGATCTATTTTAAGTTTGATGCAAAATAACTTGGCCCAACAAAAATGGCTCAATCTGGGTTTGATTCATTTGTCACTGTGTCAAATTCTCTTATGAATATGTACTGCAAATATAGACAATTTGATCAAGCTTTTGAGATCTTTAAGAACTTAAGTAGCCCGGATATTGTTTCTTGAACACAATTCTTTCAGGTTTCCATGAAAGTCAGGATGCGCTAAGATTCACTGTTCAAATGCATCAAACTGGGCTCTCCTTTGATGCTGTGACTTGTACTACTGTTCTTAACATTTGCTCAAATATTCAGGATTGTCTTCTAGGTTTTCAGTTTCATTCCCTTGTAATTAAATCTGGGCTTGACTCTGAAACATTTGTTGGGAATGCACTTATAACAATGTACTCAAGGTGGGGCTATCTAGAAGAGGCTAAGAGATTGTTTGATGGAATGCCCTAAAGGGATTTGGTTTCTTGGAATGCTCTACTTTCAAGCTATGTCCAGGAAGGAAATTATGGGGTAGAAGTGGTTTATACCTTTGTTGAGTTGGTAAAGGAAGCTATGGAGCTTGATCATGTCTCTTTTTCTAATGCTATTTCAGCTTGTGGCCATGAAAAAAGCTTGGAACTTGGGAGACAAATACATGGTCTCGTTTTGAGATTTGTGTATGGGACTCATGTTTCAGTTTGTAATGTTCTCATCTCAATGTATTCAAAGTGTGAGGTGGTTGAGGATGCTAATATGGTGTTTGAGAGCATGACTGAACGCAATGTAATTTCATGGATGACCATGATTTCTATAAATGAAAAAGATGCTATTTCTCTTCATTGATATGAGAAAAGATGGAGTTTATCCAAATGAAGTAACATTTGTTGGATTAATCCATGCTATATCAGTTGAGAATTTAGTAAAAGAAGGGAATACAATTCATGGATTTTGTATAAAAACTGGTTTTCTGTCTGAATTGAATGTTTCCAACAGTTTCATTACCATGTATTCTAAATTTGAGTCCATGAAGGAGTCAAAGAAGATCTTTGATGAGATTAGTTACAAAGAGACCATATCATGGAACGCTTTAATTTCTGGGTCTGCACAAAATGGATGTGTCAAGAAGCTTTACAAACATTCTCCTTAGCAATACTAGAATCCTATACAAATGAATTCACTTTTGGCGGTGTTTTAAGTGCAATTGGATCTGCTGAACCTGTATCACTGAGGCAAGGGTAACATTGCTATTCTTGCATAATCAAACTTAGGTTAAATACCAACCCAGTTGTATCTGGTGTGCTCCTTGATATGTATGCAAAGCGTGGGAACATTGAAGAGTCACAGAAAATATTCTGTGAATCACCTCAAACAAGCCAAGTTTCTTGGACTGCAATTATCTCTACTTATGCAAGAAGTTTTACAAACATTCTCCTTAGCAATACTAGAATCCTATCCAAATGAATTCACTTTTGGCGGTGTTTTAAGTGCAATTGGATCTGCTGAATCTGTATCATTGAGGCAAGGGTAATGTTGCTATTCTTGCATAATCAAACTTGGGTTAAATACCAACCCAGTTGTATCTGGTGTGCTCCTTGACATGTATGCAAAGCGTGGGAACATTGAAAAGTCACAGAAAATATTCTGTGAATCACCTCAAACAAGCCAAGTTTCTTGGACTGCATTTATCTCTGCTTATGCAAGGTATGGAGAATATGAATTAGTGATGGGTCTGTTTGAGGAAATGTGAAGAAAAGCAGTCCAACTAGATTAAATCACCTTTCTCTATATGTTCTAACTACCTGTGGCCGACATGGGATGGTAGATATGGGTTGTCAAGTATTTGATTCAATGGTCAAAGATCATCAAATTGAACCATCCCCTGAACATTATTCATGTGTTATGGATATGTTGGGCAGGACAGGGTGGCTCGATGAGGTAAGGAGTTTGTGCGTCAGATGTCAACAAAGCCAGGGTTATCTGCATTGCAGAGCTTACTTGGGGCTTGTAGGATTCATGGGGATGTCGAAATGGGTAAAAGGGATGCTGAGGCTTTAATGCAAATCGAACCCATGGAGTCAGGTTCAGAGATGGTTTCTTCCAAGGCGGCGGCAATGGTTTCTTCTCCCCCATGGCGGCAACTGTTTCTTCTCAAGCGGCAGCAACGATTTCTTCTACCCGCGGCGGCAATAGCTTCTTCTCCCCATGATGAGCAACAGTGGTGCCCAGACCGAATAGAACCCAACTTTTAATCAGGGTTATTTTGGTCTTTTAAAATTTATGATTTAAACAATTTAAAAAAATATATGGGCATTTCAGTAACTTTACAATAATCTGTAACGTGAGTTAACAGAAATGAACCTAAGTGTCTATTTCTAAAAGTTCGGGGTACCTAAGTGTTGCAGTCGAAAGTTCGGGGTACCTAACTGTTACTACCCCAAAGTACAGGGTACTTATCTGTAATTTACCCAAATAAATAAGATACAAATTGGTATATGCAGATTTAACAAAGATGTATGCATACTGATAAATTACAATTTATGAAGAAAATCAGAAACTATATAAACATGGAGATACATTGAGCAAAATATGTATGATTTTAGACACATAAAATTGGTATTACAATGACATGAACAAAACAAACTTTATCCAGGCATCTGATTGTTTGGAACCTCAGATGTACCAAATATTACAAGGCACGATTGAATGCTCCATGGAAGGAGCTTAGTTGTTGAAAGAACAGTCAGGAACCTATCAGGGTGACACAAACCTCTTAACATTAAGTGGCTGAACTGAATGATGTATTATGGTAATTGCCTTGTCTTTTACCGAATAAGATTTTAAGGAAGTTGTAAGATCCTTGATGTCTGAAGCTGAAGTTGGATCGATTGACTGTATGCTCCATGGAAGAAGCTCACATGTTTTGGAAAGATTACCAGGAATCTATTTGGGTGATGCAAACCTCTTACCAACTTAATAGCCTAACTTTGTCCAAGAATTCAGAGCAATGGAAAATTGCAAACAATACCAAAAAGAATAAGCCAGGATTAAACAATGATCTAATATTATCATGACAACAAAGAGGGAGCAAACCAGTAAGTACCTTTCTTAAACTGGTCGCTTTCTCTTCCAGTTTTTCGATTTCAGCTTGATCTGCGTGTGATTCAGAACTGCCATTGGTGAAACCCGCCTCATATGCTTTTGCCTAAGTTGAGATAATCCAAGATGACGGTATGTTATACACCACTAGGAACTCCACGAAGATTAAAAAAAATGAAAATTCAATGGTAAAAAAGAAAAAGAAATGGAAAACTTTGAGAGAAGTAAAGTTCATCAGAAACAGTAATTAATTGTTTGTTCTAAATGAAGGTTAACGATCTTGTAATCAAGTTTTTATGAATCGTGAGAGATTTAATGAGTTTCTTTATAATAGCTAGATTTGTTTTCTACTTGGCAATTCCTCAACTGCAATAACCAAAGCAACTAAAATGAAACGAAAGCCAATAGTATCTCGGAAGAAACAAAAATCAAAGGAATCTAGGGTTCTTGATTTACCTTCCGGGAGTTGGGAATTGCGGAAATAATAGAACGAAGAGAAGCAATGGAAGATTTGTAACGAAGACGAGCCTCTTCAAGAGCACCACTACCCATTTCTGAGTGATGAGACGAATCAGAAGCATCGCCGCTGGAAGAATGAGCTACGGGCCACAACGCTGGGTTACAGAGTTCGTCGTTCATGGATGAAAGGATCTGAAAGGCTGCTTCGATTGTGTCCTCTAAGTGCTTCAGCCCCTCCACCGCCAAATCCTGCGTGCTTTTTGTGTTTGATATCACGCCTTTCTCTTCCATCATCAAGTCCACTGACAGGAACCCTAATAATCTAATTTGAGGACAGCAGGGTTTTGGTCACAGAAGCCCCCTAATTTCAATGTCACTGGATTCGGAAACACCTCTGATTGCTCTTCTTTGTTCTTTCGAAACAAAAACCTGTCTGTCTGTACTCAGTAATCGATCCTCCTCAACCTCGAAGCGCTTGAAAAATCGAGCAAAACAAGTAAAAGAAAATTTACGTCGACAGCAGGGTTCGAACCTGCGCGGGCGAAGCCCAACAGATTTCAAGTCTGTCTCCTTAACCACTCGGACATATCGACGCTGATCAACCATTTAAGCAAACCTACAATCAAGTTAAAAGAACAGGCCAACCCGCTTAATCAAGGTCCGTACTTTTTTTTGGGCAACTTGCTGAAACCTACACGAAATTTTGATAATTTTAACCACCTCCCCAAAACTGTGACATAATTTTAAGTAGACTCTTTGGTAGAATTTTTTAAAAAAAATATGAAAATATCCAAAATATCCCTACGATTACTTTTTATAAAAATGTTTATTTTTCAATTTTTCTCTTCATAATAATCACAATCCCAAACCCTTCCAATCTCTTTTTCTGAAATTGATTCTTTTTCAAATTTATCCTTTCGTATCAACCACTCAAAGGTAAAATTATAACTTTAAATTCTCTTGTTTTTTATTATTCATAAAATTTATATTATTTTTTTTTAGAAACCAGCCTCAATAGCAATTATTTGGATATTTTGGCCATTTTCATACCACTTCTTAGAAGACTCTAGGAGAAGGGTCTACTTACAAACTGTATTAAAAAATTAAGGGAGGTGATTACAATTACTAAACTTCAAGGGAGGTTTTAGCCATTTGTCCTTTCTTTGTTTAAATAAAATACCAATATAAAAAAAAAAAAAAAAAAAAAAAACAGACAGAAATCCGAGCCCTTGAGAAGGAAACTTCTTGTCATGAGATTTTAGCAATAATAACAAGTTAAAACTTAGTTTGATAATATAAGATTAATAAAAAATAAACAAAAATGCAAGAAAATTAAGAGATCCTTCCTTATATATTACTAAATATATAATCGGTTCGAAACAGCATGAACTAATCTGACCCAATTATTAATTAATTGGAACGAACAACAAAATTAGAACCTCAGTTCGATTCTATAGGGTGGACCTGACCATTAATAGCCCTAAATAAAATCACCCCTCTTTGTAAAGATAAAAATAAAATAGATATTTAAATGAAATCTCTGAAATCTACTAGTAATATGTATTTGATTAGAAAGGCAGGTTTTATCTAAGAGTTCATAAGCTATTACAAAAAATCCAAAAAACAATCCATAGCTTATATAACTAAAAATCGGATCTTTGTTTTATCATTAAATAAAAAAAAATCCTATCCCAAATTTTTCCACCACCAGATCCCAAAAAGCTCGACTTAGAGTTAACACCTAGCGAAAGTCATAAATATTTCAATGGCCAACCACTTGAGACACACCCCCAATTCCCTAGCCCATAAATCTCTCTCATCCTACCCCTAATTAACCCCTGCCACCACACTTTTGCTTAAATTCACCTTTCGATCTTGTCATTTTCTCAAATAACCTCATTAAGAGCACTAGGTTCCTTGTACTATGATCTCCCTCGCTTTCGCAAAATATGATGATATCATCTACAAATTGTAGGTGGGATACCACAACTTCCTCCCTACCTATCCTTCATCCTTTGATAATTCCCATTCATCAGCTTTGGAAATCAATCTACTAAGAACCTCAGCTATGAGGGTGAAGAGAAAGGATGATAACAGATCTCTCTAACTTATGTCCTTAAAAGCCCCAATGAAATCTCTAACCACCCCATTTTCCAAAATTTAATCTATGTTTTTTAAACAAATAATTTTTCATGTGAGACCTATTTGATAGTCACTTAGGCCATGTTTGGAAGTGCTTATATTAAAAATAAGTGTTTATTTGAATAAGAACTTGTTTGCATTTGCCACCAAACTTTTCCCAATGCTTATTTTAAAAAATAAGCACTTATTTCATATTTGGCGTTTGATGGTCTTTTTTCTCCAACAAACACATAAATAAGCACTTGTGACTCTTTTGTCCTTCATTTTCTTTCAAATTTTCAAAATATGCTGAGTTTTTCTCCTGGTTTTGCCTCAAACTTATGTACAACAATCAATCTGAAACATCAATCAATTTGACACACTAATCAATCTGAAACACCATGACCGTATGGTAATTGATCTGAAAACATCAGGTTCAATATCTTGTTTGTTTCCTCAAAGGAAGACATATTGGTCAAACCCCAATTGGACATCACAAAGAAAGTATAAGGATCCATTTGATTCGTAGTCAGAATCAGAATCAAAATCGAAATCCTTTGGAATTAGAATTGGAATGGTCCATTCCTATAGTATGTTTGGTTCGGACATGAATGAGAATGGAAATGGGAGTCAATAGGAATGGGATTTCATTCCCAAGGGAAGGGTAGGAAATGGCCATTCCCTTAAATGGGGGAATGTCATTCCAACAGAAATGAGAATGGAATTTTGATTCCATCCAACCAAATAGTTGGAATTGGAAAAGCCCATTCCGATTCCGATTCCAGACCCCTATTCCCACGAACCAAATGGGGTCTAAGAATTACAAGTGGCTTACCGAAAGACTAAGGGGCCATTTGGCAAAGTCTTTTTTGAAAGATCTTCTAGAAACTCTAACAGTCAAAAGATGTAGTGAGATTTTGTATTAAGATCTTGATAGCTTGAGGACCGTTTGGTTATGGTGTGTCTTTTTGTGTGTCTTTCCGTGCAAAGACAAGTTAAAAATAAAAACCAAAAAGCTCCATTTGAAGCTTCCAAAAAATCGCCCAAAATGGGCTTCATGCGTCTTTTAGGTGTGACGCCTTTTGGCGTTTAAGTCTTTTCTCAATCAAACAAAAAAAGACAAAATACATGTTGTTGGATTTCTAAAAAACCAATAGCCTGTACAAAAAGACATGCCAAATAGGGCGTAAATAACACCCCAAAATTTTGATTGAAATAGGGTTAAGAAAGATCTGCAATGTCTTGGTCGATCCGTCAAGAAATCCTGCTAAATAACGCCCCAAATTTTTTTTATTGAAATAGGATTAGGGTTTCGGATGGGAATAAAAGACAATAGAGGGAAATGACAAGGTTCCATGAAAGAAAAAGATCAATTGTAGAGATTCTGAGAGATGGAAAGTAGAGAGAATTTGGTAAGAGAAGGCTCAGGTGCGTAGTTCGAGACAAACGAGAAGCAGTTCTCACCATTAAAATTTAAATTAAATAATTCAAAATTCAAAGATTATTAATGAGGGATAAAATACAAAAACCTCCCAAAGTTTTTGACAATCATAAAAACCTTTCCTTTAATTTCATTTTAACAAAATCCTCCCTTTTTATTTTTAAAGAAGTTGACAAAAGCCTCCCTTCCGTCATTGATTCAAACTGGCCAAAAATATTAAAAAATACATCAATTTTTTCCAAATACTCATTTTACCCTAACAGCTACTACTAGGGCTTTGAGCAACAATAATAAGCTCTCTTTCTTCTTCCAAAGTAACCTTCCCATCATTTTCTCCTCAGAACGTCCCTAAAATCCACCTTCATCTCTACCAGATGCATTCAATCCACACAAAGAGCCACTGAATCGCAAAACCAAGATACCGGTGTTGTTAGCTGATGCAATGTCGTGGAAATTCTGGAAGAACGGGGCCTCCTTGAATCGATAACCAGCGAAAATCTTAAGTCAGCTTGTTCAAACCCTAATTTCAATCCATTGAAGGTCTATTCTGGTTTCGATCCCACTGCTGAAAGTTTACACTTGGGAAGCTTGCTTGGAATTATTTTACTGTCGTAGTTTCAGAGATGCCGTCACAAGGTTGTTACCTTGATCGACGGTGCAACTGATGAGATTAGGGACCCACCCATCTGGTAAAAGCAAGAACACAGCAAGCATTGTTAATACAATAACCAAAATTCTGGGTAGATGGGATGAAAATAGAAACTCGAAAGAGGGTTCTGAAGGAGAACCAGCTCTGAATGCGAATAATGAGAAAATCAATAACTCAGGTCTGGTCTTCATGATTCTTTTGTAATTTTGAATAATTATGATAGGTGGAAGGACATCAAATTTTTGGATTTTTTTTTCTAGCTAAAGTAGGTCAATTTGCAAGGGTGGGTACAATGATGGCCAAGGAGAGTGTTAAGAAGAGATTGGAATCTGAACAAGGAATGAGGTATACAGAGTTCACATATTGTTTGTTGCAGGTCTATGATTTCCTCCTATACGTGTTTGGGAATAAGGGGGTTAATGTTCAAATAGAGGGAAGTGATTAGTGGGGAAATATTACTGGTGAGACTGAACTTATCCGAAGATTCTTCAGGTGGATGGAGCTTTTGGTTTCATATTTCCTCTTCAATAAAAGAGTGATGGAATCAACTTTTGGAAGTTTGAGATGGAGCTATCTGGTTGTCTCCCTCAATGTCATCTCCTTACAAGTTTTGGAAGTTCAACCTGTAATTTTACAAAAGGGTAAAGTAGGTATTTAAAAAAAAAAGTTAATGCATGAGTTTAATGTTTTCCGTCTAGATCAATAAGAGGTTTTGTCAAAGTTTTTTAAATATTCAAGAGAGGATTTTGTTAAAATGAAACTTAAGGGGAGATTTTTTATGATTGTCATAAACTTAAGGGGAGGTTTTTATTGGGAAAATTTTCAATTAGCAACTTGTATTTTGGGCCTAGTGTCATTTTGGTCTCCGAATTTTAAAATGTGATAATTCAGTACCCAAATTTTTAAAACGTGTCAATCCCGTACTTACCGTTAAGTAGTTGTTAATCATCCGTTACGTGGCATTTGAAAAGGACACAAATGCTCTTTGAGTGTCATTTAATTTTCTTTATAAACCATTAGACCTGTTCATGGGCCGGGTGGTCCAACGGGCCGGCCCAGCCCCCAGACGGGCTTGAACACGGTTATAGGCCCATGGGCTTAAACTCGGGCCAAAAAGCCCAGTCCATAATAAATTCAAGCTAGGCTCGGGTTTTGTCAAAATAGCCCGGCCCAACCTAAACCTAGACCTAAAAAACCCTAATCGAATAGCCCCATCTTTTTATTATCTTTTTGCCTCTTTCCCTCTTCTTTTTCCAGTCGAACCCTTCTTCTCCAACCTCAACATCCTCCACACTCCACAGTGAGGCGGCGAACATACACCGGCAACAACGGTGAGTTTTCTCTCTCTCTCTCTCTCTCTGATGCGAAGTTGCGAACTGATGAGGGATCTTTGTCAAAGTGCGACAGTGAGTTCTCTCTCTCTCTCTCTCTCTCTCTCTCTCTTTGCGAAATTTATTAGGTCGGACTTCGGGCTTGGGCTCGGGCCCAAGTTATAGGCCCGTAGGTCGGGCTAGGCTCGGGTTCGGGCCTAGCATATTTTCATTAATGGGGACTAAAAGCCCGACCCGAGCCCGGCCCGACCCGGCCCATGAACAGGTCTATAAACCATCCAAACATTGACAAAAAATTAACTGTCCCAAATCCTTGCCTCTTTTCATGGTTTTCAAAACCGGACCAGACCAAATGGTCAGACTAGAAAAACTAGGAACCGGTCAGGTGATTGGTTCTATTTTACCCTAGAACCGTTATTTTGCCAAAAACCATTGATTTGGTTAGCAAACCGTTGACCCAAACGGTCAAACTGTTCGAACCGTCCAAAGGTTTTGGCTGTTTTTATTTTTTTTATTTTTTATCAGAAAGGGCCATCCGTTTGATTCGAACAATCAGATCATTTGACCCGGGAACCGGACCCCTGACCGGTTTAGTTTTAAAAACCTTGCCTCTTTTATTTAAAAAGGTTGGGGCCATGTCTCAATGGGCATTATGACCCTAACTTTCTTAAATAGAAAAGACAATGATTTAGAACTTTTAATTTTTTGTAAACGTTTGGATAGTTTATAATGAAAATTAAATGATATTTAAAAGACATTTGTGTATTGACACGTTTACCCAAAAGCTTATAACGTCTCTTTCGGAGATATGACCTCATTAAATTCGAGAGTTCTCTCCAACTCCAACTGGGTTGATGATGGGTTTGTCTTGTGTTAGGAGTCATGGATGAAAATAGGCTCGAAATGGAAAATGTTCGGCTGTTTGGTGGGGTGTCACCCGGCATGTCTGTGTCAGCTGAAACGCAGATATGGTTTTTGGGAAATGGAAGGAAAAGGCATTGATGGCGTTACCGGTGAAAAATCCGCCCATGCGGGGTGTCACGCAGTTATGCAAGTTTACAGCTTCACCTTAGACACGATCACATGAATGGTGTTACCGGTGAGAAATCCGGCCAAGTGGAGGGGAAATACTCAATGGATAAAAAACCTTATGATTTTACATTCGAAGGGCATAAATAAAATTATAAAAATTAAATTGGGACAGTTTTGATTAAGGTTTTAAAAATCGATACGGAAACAGAACTGTTTTGGTCACCGGTTTCTGGGTCAGTAGTTTGACCATCCGGGTTTAACGGTTTAAATACTTTAAGATGATATATCATTTTATCCATTAGATTAGAATATTAGGGTAAGATGTATATAAATATCATGAGAAATAAGGTTTGAAAATGAGAGTGAGATTTGAGAAGCTGTCGGCTAAGAGAGTTTAGAAGAAAAAGAAGATAGAGAGAAGAAGAAGAAAGAGGAGGAGATCACTTGTAACGACAACGACAATGGTGATGACGAACTACAGTGGCACGATGGTAATGAAAGTAGATTTGAGTCACTCTCTGTCGCAGATCTCTCATCTTGACTGCTCTCCCAGATCTCTCTCACACATCTCTCAATTGGTCTTTCTCTCTAGTAGATCTCATATCTGAGAGATTTTCTCTTTCCATTCTTGTCATAAATAATAAATCACAAACTGTTCCTTGGATCAAACAGTTTAGTGGTAAAACCATCTGAGTCAACAATTCGTTGACCAATTCAACAGGTTTTTTTTTATCAAGAACCAGGTTTGGGGCAAAATGGAACCATCCGCCTGGACGATTTCCGGTCCTAACGGTCCAACCAAGATAAATGACAGTTCAAAAATATTGGTTTATAGAAAAAAAAAATCGTAAAGGTACTTATTGTTTAAACACTTAAAAAAATAAAAATTTAGACATAAAAATAGGATGAAATACACTGCAGCTCAATGCAGAATTCTGAATTACAACCCCCCATATTGTATTAGTAGCCACCCCCACCCCACCTATAAACTGCATCCTGCCCGTGGATTTAGCATCGATCCATAGTCAGTATTCATCCTCCTGTACGGTGGGGCTAAAAAATTCTAATCTGAACTGGTCAGTCATTTTCCCTAAAAAATAAACCTTATTTTTAAAATAAACACTTATTTTAAACTAATTTTCCAAACACCAATAAGTGCTTAATGGTATAGTCTTGACCCAAACTTGGCCTAAATCATATGCAAAGACTAATTGCAATCGAAGAGAATGCAGCCCATTCTTGTATTTATTTTAGTTTTACGATAAAGCTAGTGTTTTAAGATTTGGCCCTATCCGAACAATCAGACCATGAAAACCGGGAAGTCAGGAACCAATGTCCATTTCGGGTCCTGCCTGATTTAAGGCTCAATTTGGAAGGAGTACAAATACAAGATACAAGGTTTTGCACCGTACATATTTGCATTTGTACTCCTTCCAAACCAAGCCTAAAGTTCAATTTGGAAAGAGTACAAATACAAATAATGTACAATGCAAATGCATATAAATTAAAACAAAATACAAGGTTTTACATTCCACATATTTGCATTTGTACTCCTTCCAAACTGAACCTAAGACACTGGATAAAGACACGAAGGTTACCCTCATTGTAGTTCAATAGTAAATCAAAATCCAGCATTGAATAGAAGATTTCAAAAACCAGTTTCTGCTTTGTTTTATTTTTGCTCTTCCCTTTTCTTTATTATCGTGGCGTGGAGAGCGAGAACCTATGACGTTGAAGTGCCCTTTTTTCACTTTATGTTAAGCATAGTGCCTTGTTAATAATGGTAATTGGTTGACTACATTGAGCTTTATCAAGATAAATCATAAATTTATAATTTTTAGATTCTGTACAACATGTAAGCTTCTTTCTGCAAATTATTCATTTCATTGATCACTAGGATACAGCAAGTAATGGTCACAACATTTCTTAGGGAAGCCAGATTTAGAAAAACATATACAAGAAAGGAATAAACTTTAAAAAAAAAAGGCCAAAAAAGGAGTACTAGACATTCATCCACTTTATTGGGCAGGATATATGATACAAATTAAGTCACCATCCTTGCTTTGCCAGGGAAAAAATATTACCATACCTGTTCTGATTTTCTGAGGGCAAACAAAACGAATTAGAGATATCCTCTGCACCACAAAACTCTTATTTCATCCTCAACTTCAAGGGCTGTATTTCAAACCTTAGACAACCTCAAATGTGAGTGTGTTCAGTCTTTGAGGAGCTCTTGATTTAGATCTTAATCCATCAAGCCTGATTCAAATCCAACATGATGAGAAACGGAAGAATTGGTTCTGCTATCTGCTTGGAAGACAGTTGTAGGGCCACTGATTACCAACCCAGAAGACATGAACACATGGACACACACACTCATGGCTATTTTTTCCCCTGGTAGAATCCCAAAATAGAGATAAAGAAGTCAACACTCAGACAGCTCAAAAACTTACCATTGGGCATCATATGAGAACATCAGACCCCATTCACAAGGTAACAACTAATATTACAGAATGAAAATTCAGAACACGGAGTGAATCTAGATTTGGGTGTGGAAAGAAGCAAAAGGAATCCAGTAACACAACAACCAAATTCAGTAAATCTGGGTTGAATCAAGACCACCATCTTGTGAATTACTACCAGAAAATCTCCTCAACCAAATCTTCTCCTGAATGGATAATGCTACGTACAAACATGGGGGTCAAGATTACCATTCTATGAAATAATGTAACCAGATCTATCATGCCAAAATTGGATGATCCTAACAATTCAACCTAGACTCTTTGATGATGAAAAATACAGATAATCAAAAGAGAAAAGCCTATATATTGTATGGCTAGGATGGGATGATTAGGATGGCCAAAGATTTTCCAAATGATACCCAAGTCCACCACTAACATGATATCTGCACTTCTGCAGATGGGCAGGTCAAGAAGGTTTCTTCCCGTGACATGATATAAATGCATTCCAGTATTTTATAACTTTCTTCTTTGATAAAGGAGCATTTAAATTGGAGGAAGAAGAGTTCCATGGAGAACTTACTATTGGGAACAACCTAACCCAATTAAGCATTCCAATGAGTCCTGGAGAACCCCTTGTGCAAATACTCTCATCAAGCTCGCTCTACTGCTCTTTATTGGTTACAAGTTGGAGTAGATCTGAAAAACCGTGAAACTTCCTGATAAAGTTGTTCTCCTTCAAAGGGTTTAGACACATAACCATCCATACCACACTTCAAGCATTCCTCATGTGTAGCCTGGATAACATCTGCCGTCATGGCCAATATGGGTACATGCCAGTTTAAAATGTTTCGACAAGTTTCCATGGTCACTATTCCATGTCGAATACGATCATTGATTGCATGTTCTAAGTTCCGAATCCTTCTTGTAGCTTCAAACCTGAGAAAAAAATAAATAAAATGAGGAATAGTTACATGTAAGGAAAAATAGAAACGCTCACAGGCAATTCAGCAACCTGGGAAGCTCCACAATAGAAACCTTGGAATAATGACAAGATCCAAAGACATTTTTACAGGTCCCCAAATGTCTCTAGGGGGTTGCCCTGGCATCTGAGCTCATACTCATTTCAAAAGGAAACAAATTGTAACAGGAAAGCTGTAAGTCATAAAGCATCTGTATCAAAGCAAGCAGGAGCCATTTTTTGGTGCAATTAAAATGCATGGAAAAATATGATACCCATTAAAAAACAAGACAGAAAGAGAGTGGGGTGGGGCAATTTCTTGGTATAATGGTAAAATCTTGGGCTAACAAGCATGTTAAATGCCAAGGGTTAGGTCCATATCCAGTCCACCCATCCCATCACTCTCACCCCTAGCATCTAAGCCATCCAAACTTCTGAGAACGTAGGCTTCTCAGCATGGCAATCCTGAAGCATGTTATGACTAATTATGCACTTTATGTAAGCCCACTATATAATATACATGCAAGAAACAATCAATAAAATATGTAATATAGCCAGATATCATCTGATGAAATAAAACCTATTTATTTTATACCATGAAAGTGGCTCATAATTTGTTAATTTAGCATAATCAGCTGATGAACTATATCATGGTCAAAACATTCCAAAACTCATAATGAAGTATCATTTTTTAATGGACTCATAATGGAGTATCTTAACCATCCTATCTAGAGCTAAGATATGAAAGGAAAGAGTAAAATTAGGATAATATTTGAGAATATAAACCATGGTATGGGCAGTTTGTACATTTTCCAAACAGCATGTCTAATGGTGGCCCATTTATCAATAAAATGGCGTCATATTGGACAATATATGATGATAGGCATAACACATGTAGGGCATTGACTCTTCAGATATAGTTATAAAGCTCAGTACCCAATGTGCGAATCTAAGCTATAACTGAATTAGAGCTTCTAGAACAACAGGACAAAACATACCCATCCATTTCTGGCATTTGGATATCCATGAAGCAGGCATCGAAGTTATGGGGTGGCTTAAGCATTTTAATTGCCTTCTTCCCGCTGTCTGTGCAGATCACATCAGCACCATACTTCTTCAAAGCACCAGCAGCCACTCTGAGGTTCACATAATTGTCATCTACAACCAAAATCCTTTTCCCATGAAGAAGATTGCAAAGAGACAATATAGGGAGTTCCCTATTTAGGCAATTCCCCTTGTTAACAACACCCATGGCTCGTTGCAGAGAGACGGCCAACATACTGACCCTCAAGGGCTTCATGATGACATTCAGTGTATATCCACTACACTTCACAGCAATAGTTTTGGTAGAACTGATGGAATTAGCTAGAAGAAACAGTTTTGGAGGATCCACTTTGTAATCCTTCCTCAACTTGTTAATAAATATATTTGAGAGATCTGTATCCTTAATCCAAGCTTCTTTCTCAACAAGAATCATCTTGATAACTGTGGTCCCACTGCTTATGCTAGAAAGGCTTTCATTCAGATTAGAGACCACCTCCACTTGAATTCCAAGCCGTTGGAGATGATATCTGGTCACCTTGGCACGAACAGGTCTGGGGTCCACAACCAATGCTGTCATCCCCTGAAATTCTGAGGATAAAGGCTTGGAGTGGTTGTCAATTTGCTGGTTATTGTACTCTTTTAAGTTGGAACAACCATTGGCAAAGACAGCAGTGAAGGTAAAGGTGGAACCAACCTGGGGCTTACTAGCAAATCCTATCTCCCCATTCATAAGACCAACCAAACACTTGCTTATACTTAGTCCAATACCTGTACCTCCATGGGTACGTGAAATGGATGGACCTACCTGCATAAAGGGGGTAAAAATACGAGATTGGGCTTCTAGAGGGATTCCTACACCTGTGTCCTCAACTGAGACAATTAGATTGATGAGTTCAGAGGAGGTTGACAAAAAAGTCTGTGGAGATGGAGGTCTCTCTTGACTGAAGGTCTTGAAGGCCCTCCAACTGCAACATCTATCAGCCACGGGAAACCCACTCAAGGTGTTCTTTGATGATGTTTCCGTCTCAACTTCTATTGAGCCCATCACCTCCTCAGCACAATGGACAGTCACAAAGATATGTCCTCTCTCAGTAAACTGCAAAATAAAGAAATTATAAGAATTTCCAAACAGGTATGGCCAGTGGCAGGTTCCAGCAAGAAAGGAAAATGTTATGGGAAATGCTGCTGTTTGCATTATGTTGGTTCATATCATTATGTGGACTGGGACCCTTGAAGCTTTCACAAAGGTGCAATAGGCTAAGTTTAGGAGTCAGTGGGATTGCATAATTTCTGGCTAACCCCCATGTGCATGCAAGGGGTATTATGTTCTTTTTTTCCTAGTTTTGTTTCTCTCCTGTGTTCCTGATACCTATTCTTTGTTTGAGGGAATTTCTCCCTCCTTTTTTCAAGTAAAAGAAATTATGACTATTATTTATAAAAAATAACAGCCATAATTAGGTGAGGGTGTATATAGTTGGGATAAGGCATGGATGACGATGATAATGATTTCTTAAAAAAAAAAAAAGGTATTAGACTCCTTCACTACTTTGCATATATCAGGTGTTTATACTAATAATGCGAGGATATAGTCAAACAGGTTTGGATATTTTTGTAAAAAAGAGCAAATTTGTCTAAGAGGTACACCATAAAAAATTAGTGGAATCAAGGGAACTTTTGGGGTAGATTCAGTCTGCCAACAAGATATGAGAAAGTCTACAGATGGATTGGTCATCTCAGATGAAGCTCTGCTGTTGTAACAAATAGAAGTAATCCAGTGCAAGGTGAAAGCTCTAAAAGGATAAGATAAAGCTAAAAAAGGCATACATGGATGGGTACAGAACATATTTTAACATCTATTTTTAACAAAAGGAAGAACCCTGAATGGGTGGAATGGAGGAAAAGGTTCTATGTTAGCCCAACAATGGGTTATGCTAATGATATCAAAACATAGAGGAAGTAGCATAAAGGGGAAGCTTAACAAAGAATAGATCATTTTATGGAACCATCTGAAAACTTAAAAATAACTTCGAATCATTCTTTAGTTTTATCAGGAAAAAATGAAAGAAAGATAAAAGGTCATGAAATTCGAATAAAAGATAGTGATTCAGCCCCCTGCCCCCTGTTTAATAATGGGGAGCTCCTAGTACTAAAAAAAACATGTAATGGATATTTTTGGAGGTAGTTATCATCCACCTACTTAATTATTTATTTTAGAAAGAGGGACCTGTCAAAATTAGGGTGCACCCAACTCACTGTCCTATATACAAGGATAAGCTTTTATTTTGATCAGCACAATACAGTGCTTAACTTTGGCTCATTATGTCATAAAGAATGTAATTTTGTTATAATGCTCTTCTCCTCTTTTTTTCCCTAGAGCTGAGGAGTTACAAACAAATCATATTTCTCAACCCCCAACAGCCTACCATTACCTAATAGATTTAACCTACTAAACACTTACTTTGATTGAATTACCAACGAGATTTGCCATTATCTGCCGAAACCGTCCCGGATCGCCAATTAGAACTTCAGGAACTTGATCAGAGATGTACACTGCCAACTATTCTCCCAATGAATTTGAAGATGAAAATTCCAAAAATTCATGTGACAAAGAGACTGAATTAGAGCATTAAACGCCAAAATGGATTACAAACAAAGATTTATATGATTTGTTACCTCCAATCCTTTATCTTGAGATTTTCCTGAGAACAATGACAAAACATCATCCAGAATTGCACGTATATCAAATCGAACGGCTTCAAGCTCAAGTTTACCAGATTCAATCTTGGCTTGGTCTAAAACCTCATTTATAAGTGAAACTAGAGCCTTTCCACTGGCCTGGGCAGTTCTGACATGATCTTGTTGAATTATATCTAGATCTGTATCCATGAGCATCTGCATCATACCTGAAAAGCTAACATAGTTAAGCTTTCCTCTGTCAAATAGTCTGAAGCCCAAACAAGACGTAGAAAGAATTTGAATGGGGTAATTGCAAATACTACATATCTACTACTCACCTAAAACGCCATTCATTGGGGTTCTAATTTCATGGGAAACAGTAGCAAGGAACTGCAACAGATAAAATATCTCAATTAGAATATAACATGAAAACAAGACAAGTGAAACTTGATGAATAAAAACGAAGTACTATCTACCTGAGATTTTGCAACATCTGCTGCCTCGGCCCTTTTTTTGAGCTCCATCATTTTGCGGTAATCATCTTCAACCTTTGCTATCCTATTCACTGTTGCATGGAATATGTGCCCCACAAGTAATGCAATGACAAGGATTCCAACTGATGTCGTTATTGCAAGCCATGGCCATGGTGGCTTCTGCTTGAATCTGTGTTCAGAGAGAGAGAGATCTGAGAACCCATTCCAACTATGTTCTACTCTAGGCACCAAAAGGTTCCATAAAAGAGAGGTTTATGGATTACCTGCAGCGCATCTCATGCTTCCTGTATGGATCACCAAAGTTAAGAGTGCTTATGTGGTAGAGCCTATCATCGGTTACATTTGGACCATACATGCTAATTGGATGTGAGAGATTAGTTGTATCATACACATTTACAATAATTGTCTGTTTGCTCGCAAGCTGGTGAAGTAACTTCTCAACAAGTGATTCTATGTCAAAGATTCCACCTAGATACCTGCTCAACAAAAAGTTGAACAATAAGATATACTCCATTTTTGGGTTTACGTGTGTGTTTGGAAAAGGGGAGAGAGGGAAGAATCAGTGGAAATTGCACATTGGGTGACTCAAATTGGATGATGCAGAATTTAAGGTGTTTGAGGTGGTCCAGTGACTAAAAATGGTTCCAGAATGTCAGCAGAGAATAGGACTTGCCAATGGATTTTCTGCATGCAACATTCACGGATTCACCATCCAATTAAATCAAGATCATGAAATCAGAACCAGCTTAATTCATTGGGTGCAATTAATTCCTTGGTGAAGAAAATCCAAGATGAATATTTGTTTACACAATTTCGATCTTTCTGACCAACTTATACATTTAAATGCAACCATTGAGAGAGATTCCATACCCATCTGTTGCTTGGATCCGCTCATTTGGGGTTGCATTTGATGGGAGTTCTGACTTGTACACAGCAAACGTCAGTATAACCCCAAGACGGTTTGATTTAAGTAGCCTGAAGGGAGCACTAAGAACGGCCTTTCCTGATACTCTTGCACGTAGAACATTCTCACGGTCTTCCTATTAGACATACAAGTATTCTCAAAATTGATTATATAAGACCAATAAGGTCAATATACCTCTTTAATATGTTATCACTTTTAAGTTATAGCAGAATTGGTGGAAAACTCGCTAAGGCTCCCCTATTACTATATATGAGTAAATCTGTGCAGAAACATAAAGAGGAAACAAATCAAGAGATTCACCTTCCCTGACAGCACATCCAGGGAAACCACGTGTGAGATGGTATCCTGTGCAAAGATAACCGGAGCATATTCTTCTTGAACAGGGGATGGCTCCTTGGGTTCAAAGGCATTGCCATCCTCTTGAACAGGGGTCTGTTCAAGTGTATCCATCCTTTTAATAGTCCAGCCCTGTTGCTTTTCGAATTGTTCCCTTTCAGAGTGGAGTACCCTAACAGCATAAGCCACACCACTTGTAAGTGGCCTCTCAAAGGCGGTCCTCTCTGTATACCTTGCAAAAGTTGTCTGCAGGACAAAAAAGAGTAAAAGACAGCTTCTTATTAACTAGTTCTAGGGATCAGCTAGAGGAAGTAAAATCCGGCTCTGAATTAAATTATATGCAGAATAACCCAATACTCTAGAGCGAAATCCCTTGCAAAAACAAGCCTCAGGTTGAAGTTAGATTAACTGGAAATGGAGACTGATAGATAGTTTCCTGATTCAGCATCAGATGTTTCTAGGAAATAAAAGCAGATAGAGAAGTACCTGATCAATAACAGACGGGTTCTTGCCATGGTGGAAGGTTGCAACCAGGATGGACAAGGCCTGAACATGGTTCATACTCACGTTAAACTGGTCTTGCAACATCCTCGCCCGCTCATCGCACATACTGGCAAGGGTCTCTTTATTCTTCTCTGTCGCCTGTGAGCTCATGTACCAGAAGACGGAAAAGGAAACCAAAATCCAGAGTACTACCCAAGCAACCAAAACTTTCCTCCACCATGTTGTTCCGTGGACCTTCTTGGACCCGATATACTGGTAGTAGTGATGAATTTTCCAACCACTTGCAGCAAGGAGGTTCTCCCACCAACTGAGCCATATCTTGCCCTTATCAAGAAGAAAGCCAGTCTTCTTCTCCATGACTCCACTATTAGTGAACCAATTCATTGGTATCTCGGACAGAACGCGGCAGCATAGAATCAAAATCAGGTGATCCACCTTCAAATCAAACCCAAATACATGGACATAACTCATTAAGTACAGGTAACAAGCCACGTTATGAAGTTAACCATAAAAGGTAATAGAAGAAATGACTACCCCGCTGCTGGCTAGTCTCCGTTATCCTCAAAACCAGGAACCAACACCATACAAAATAATCATACCCAAAACAAGAAAGTCCAAAATCAGAATAACAGAAAAGAAAACCCGTTACCAAGAATACTTCAGAACTACACAGAGAGGGAAGTCTCCCTGGATAACGCTATGTTATCTGCGAAACTAGTTTGAGATCAGGAGCCCAAACCAACTAAATTTGAGGAAAACAAGGCACACCAGCTAGGTAGATCAATGACCGAAACCTCTCTATTACATTCACATGAGAAGCAAAGAACCAAAGAGTCCGAGAATCTAAGTTATAGTTGTATATTACCTTTTTATTCAGATAAAGAGTTGCGAATGTCGTATCAACTGCCACCTGAAAACCCACTCGAATGAGGAAATGATTGACTGGAAACACCAACCAGATTCAACAACTAGTTATCAAATCAGGAGAACAACGTAAGAAAAAAATCAACAAAGACCTGAGGCAAAACAAGAGTTTCGAGTCCTGAAATCAAACAGGAAGAAAACAAAATGCGAGGGATAAAGGTTGACCATTGAGTATCCATGGGTGATGAGATCGAGTCAGCAAAGCAACAGAACAACAGTAAAAATGATAGTAAGAGGGAGGAGGAAGCAAAGATGACTGAGTTCATGGACACTGAGAAAGCAGAATCAGCGAAAGAAAGAAAGGTGAGAAGAATATGGTGGGAGAAATGTCTGATTGCAGAGACCATTATCTCCGTCTATCCAAAAACAATATAAAACAAAATAAAAATAATATAATTTATAGAGAAGAAAATACAATATATTAAAATTATAAAATAAATAGCAAAATGAAGTGCCAAAAAGGTATCCTCCTTCCACTCAGCAGTAATCCGCCACTCTGCCCCTGCTGCTTCTTTCTTTTGTTTTTTTCTTCTCTTTCCTCTTTTCTTTGCTTCACTCCGTCATTCTCTCTCTTCTTTTTCTTTTCCCTCTTAACTTTTTTTCATGAAGCGGACGACTTCTACACGCTAACGCTTTTGTGTGATTGTTAAATGACGTCGTTACCCTCGTAGGTGTAGAAAAAAAAATTGAAGAAACGACGTCGCCCACGACCCAACGGCCGACGCCCATACTTGTTTAACCAAGAGAGACGCAGGGTGGGTACTAACCATTCTGCTTCTCTTGAATGCTCATTTGTCTCGTGAAAAGAGTGTTTGTTTGGTTGTAAGTGCATTTTCACTGATTACATAATTAAATTCTCAATATAAGTACATAGTGCAATTAAATTTTAAATATGATAAAATCATCTGAATCTAAAACTCTTTCATTTTACAACCTAGAGCTATTTATAAATTCATTGGAAGGATTTTATTGGTTTGAGGATTGGGGTTGAACCAACGGTCCATTGGGTTTGCATTGAAGATTAGAACTGAAATTCCCAGAATTGAAATCGGAATCATGTATTCTTTGTACCCGTATTGATTCATTCTGGAATTGGAATAGGATTCTGATTGTTATTATTTGGTTCAATTAGAAGTTGAAATTAAAATTAGTCAAAATTTTTAATTTTACCCACGTTAGAAGGAAAAGAAGGGAAGAAATAAGAAATGAGAGGGGAGGAAATAAACTGCCGATGCTAATACCACCAGGCGGTGACGACAGAGAGGAAGAGGAGGGAAAGAAATAAGAGGAAGAAGAGAGAGAATGGTAAGAAGCGAGGGGCTACATAGGAAGGATGGCCCACTAGTGGTCGTCTTATGGTGATGGCCGGTGGCTAGCATTGGATGGAGGAAGGCCTATGACATGCTCAGGCCTTTGATCAAATACGAAATAGAATCTTTTTGTCAAGAAATGCCTAAGAGGAGAATCCCATCCCATTCTACCTATAATGAAAATGGGAATCACATTCTCATCAACCATTTATTTGGTTGGAATCATTATTCCGGGTACTTATGCCCACGAACCAAAGTTACCCAATGCACCTTTAAATAGTAAGTGTAGGTACATATTGTTAATCATGTCCGTAATGGGAACGAAGGTATTAAACCAATGTTATAAGACACTCATAACGATTTTACAACTCGATACGAGCTTAAAGCTATTGCGAGCCTGCAATGAGCTCAAAGCTATCGTAAATTGGTGATGAAGTAGGATTAAGTGGGACACGTTAGATTATTCCTAACATCACTCATGCCACGTTAGTCTAGGAGACCTATAAAATGAAATAGCACATGTATATTATGAGAATCCTCGAACGAAATGAAATTTTGCTTTAGAGATATCTCATGAAACACATGGCGAACCCTTAACAATGTCCCGTTTACATTCGATACCAAATCAAAGATCTCATTTCCAAATAGGAATCAAATCCTTTTGATTCATTCTCTTCAAAACCTCGGGATCTCTCCCTATAAAAAGAGTCATGAATCATAGCAAAGACGTGCCTCTGTCAATAAAAGTTTGCAGCATACCCTTACTCTTAGCCTTTATTCGTCCGGAGACCATCACTTAGCCTTACCAGGCCACTCATAGTAAGTGACAACAAATTATGTATGACTACAATGTTTGCCCTTTGGCTCAATTTGAAAGGATTACAAATGCAAATATGTAGAGTGCAAAACCTTGTATTTTATATTGTTTTATATGCATTTGCATTGTACGTATTTGTATTTATACTCTTTTCAAACTAAGCCTTTGACTCAAATTGGAAATAGTACAAATATAAATATGTAGAGTACAAAATCTTGAATTTTGCATATATTAACTGAACCTAAGTTTGAAAAGAATACAAATACAAATACTTACAAAATATCAGGTTTTGCATTCTACATATGGCTGATTTGTAAATACCATGGATCGTTTGGTTCCAATCCATGCTATAGTTGAAAAGGTATTTATTTGGGGCGTAATTCAGTTCAATCTACAAATTTCATGTAAATTGAAGTGGGTATTTGATAATTTAAAGAATAGTCCATGTTTTAAATTTCAGTGAAATAATCTATGTCATAGCAGATATAATCAATTTTACAAGTTTTGCAATAAATCGTTAAAATACTTTATTCAAAATTCTGTCTAATAAAACTATGGTTTTGGAAATTGGGCCGCACCAGATGGCCAAACTGATTGTTTCGGAAATTATTTAGACAATCAATTCCATTTCATCCAAAACTGTTCGATCGAACCGTCGATCTAGACAATTTGACTTTTTGTTTTAATGATTTTTTTTAATTTATTTTAATCCGTTCAATCCAGACTGTTTGATTACAACATTCAGACTCGGGAACCGGTGGTCAAAACGGTTCTATGTCAAAACCTTCAATACATCTACAGGAGTACAACATCCAGACCATACTAGGAAATGCTTTACCAAGGTGTGGTCGCGCTTCAACCATGCCATAATGGGGCCTACAGATTGAAACAATTCTCCCATTATTGAGCCACTGTACCGAACAACTCTTCATGCTAATATTTCGTCTCTTGTTTGATTCCGAGCAGACCAACAATGGCACAACTGCAAATAAAATACAAAACGAATGGCATTGAGGAATGGGGAAACTGGCAGTTGAAGCATGGCTCATCCTAGTCATCGAAGTGATTAGACCGATCACTAGCCACTCCTTCTTTTGGAGTCGTCTGCTGGGAGCTCAGCGGAAAGCGATGTCCCATATCACCGCACCGGTTCTCTAATCTTCTCCGATATCTGAATTACACGTGGTAGATTCGAAACCCTGCAATAACACGCGTCTACGCCCAGAGACAAAGCAGGGCATATGTTCGCCACGTGGAAAGGAGACGAACATTGAGTTAAACGACACAAGGGTGTCGGACACAAAGAGTCAAATCCTCTCTCCCAGATTCTTATTTAATTTCCAATTAGGATACCAAAAAAATAGAAGAAATTCATAGTAATGTGAAATGGAAAAAAATAAAGGTTCAGTTTGGAAGGAATATAAATATGTAGATGTAAACCTTATATTTTGTATGTATTTATATTATACATATTTATATTTGTACTCCTTTCAAACTGATCCAAAAGAAAATTTATGCTGAATTATTTCAGTCATATTTAACCGTCTTTACCATAAAAATATTTCTTTTGCTTAACTTAAAAGGTGCCAAAATAATTGTTTTCATTTTAAAGTATGTTGAAGATTTTGAAACGTTTAAAATAAAAAAGAAATCATTCATTTTACCATATGTATATTATAAATATATATAAATAATACAAAATATAAGGTTTTGCACTCTACATATTTATGATTGTAAGTCTCTTCATTTTACCATATTATTTTGAAAGGGGGAAGTTGGTCAAAGGGATTTTGGTTCCCATTGACGAAAAACTCATGCTCCTTTTTCAATTTTATGTGGAGACTAGGAAAAGTTTATTTTCCTAGGTATCTCTTGGGTGGGTAAATAACTTTTCCACATAGGGGAAAGTTGCCAATATTTAAAATGGGAGAAAAATGTCCATTTTACTAATAGATTTTTATAGCTAAAATAGTCATTACCTTATTTACATGGAAAATAAGAGAACATGGATAAATAACTTACCGAAAAGCGAACAAGGCCTTAGAAGAGGTCTTGAATTTGGACTTATTTTGGATCTCTAGCTTGTGTACACGATTTGTTACTCACTATTAGTAATAAATAAGGTCCATGAGAATACAAATAATATATAATTATAAAATTGATTTATTAATGTATGGTAAAAATGCAAATACCAAGATTGATGAATGAAAAAACTAAAACGAACAAGTTAGAAATGAAGTGGGTATCTAGTTGGTGTGCTGGATGAATTGTCCTAGCAATGGTATGGTTTTGAATCCCTCTATTATCAAAGAACAGAGTTGTTGATGTGATGAGTAACTCCATTCCACTACATTCCATGATAAAATAGAATTAATCACGTGCATAAAAGACCAAGTACAATGTCTATGAGAAATTATCTATTACAAGTTAAAGGAATTAGAAGAACTAGGGGCAGATAAAAGACCAAGTAGAGTGACCATGAGAAATTAACCCGAAAAGTGTTTCGAAATTGGAACCAACTACCTATCAAGTCTTAATCCAAGATGGATTGTCTTGATAATTGGGATTAATTATGGACCCAAAAGTACTAATTGGTTTGGGGTGACCAATTAGCAAAGTATCTAAATCATTGAACAAGATCTCTAATTAATCCACTAGACCTATCATTCAAGTGGATCCCCTTTTATCATCATCATCATCATTATTAGGAGGTGAAGATGGACTAAAAGACAGACCCAAATCTTCGGGTGGCAACGAGTTGAACTTTTCACGAGCTATTCGATCTTGGCTTGGCTCGTGAGGCTAATTGAGCTTCTACATATATACATATATACATACATACATACATATATATATATATATTTATATTTATATTTATATAATAATAATAACTAATTATTATAATTTTTAATTTTTAAATATCAAATAAAAATAATTTGTACTTTTATAAAGCATTTGACTCACTGTTGAGCTCGTTATGAGCTTTTGACTCGAACAGAGTTTGAGCCTCAGGCTGTCTTAGCAAATCGAGCTTGAATAGCTAGCTATTCGTCTCGGCTCGACTCAAATCAACCCCTACCCAAGTCTATGATCGAGGGCTAGCTTGTTAGTGTGTTAGCTGGTTTGTTCCAGCGTTGATGTGGAACCAAGTCTCGCAACCAGCACTTTGGGGAAAAGGGGGACAAGGGGAAGTTATTAATGGTGCATAGCACCGAATACCAAAAAAAAGTCTATGATATGTTAGTAAGAAG